AGATATGGCTGGTCAGAACCAAAATGGATCATAGTTATCACCGCAGAGAGAGAGGCCGCAATCCACAGCGTACGCACGAACCACTAAATTGGAGCATTAGTACCAGATGGATGAGATAGCCTTTAAATTATGGCAGATAAGGCTTACCCTTAAGAGAAGGCAGTGGTATTACCTGTGCTTGTCAATATACATGCAGTGGGAAAGGAAAAATTTGACTTTCTTAATAACTTTTCTTGGTCCTAAAATCAACAAGGGAAGGTCAAGGTTATCAGGTTTGCTAACATTTGTTTTGGATACAGTCGAAAAAAACACTGAAATCAGTACTTGGTGGAGGTAGCACCAAATTGTTAGCTTTGATACAGACAGTCGATTCTAAAATTAATCAAACTTAACTGCATAAGGTATGCATCACCGGCATGATGTTAAGTGGCCTTCAATTCGCTCTGTCTGTAATTAGGTTCAGTATGCTTAAAGCCTCTCATCTCTTTTCTTTCTTCTTAAAAACTTTGGATATATCCATAGCAACTAAGATATCTTAGTATGCTCTATATCAGTTGTGGCCCGTTACATGCAGTAAAAAGTATCGTGTTTGTGTCCTAAATTAAATACCTAAATTGAGTTTCTGATGTAAATAGCGCTCTTACATATCCCTAGAAATAAGGATGTTGGAGTTCGACTCATATTATTTTTAAATTTCTAAGCTTTTATTTTTTGGGATTTACACATGTGGAATGTAAAATGATGATACTTCTAAGTAGCATTACCTAGAGTATTTTGTAACTACTTCTCTCTACCATACTTAAAGCAGACATTTAAAAAATGGGTCTGCAAGTTCCAGGCCCAACTTTGATCTTTTTTTAGCACACACTTGACAATAATTCAATGCAAATATGCATGTAACATTTTGCCGTTAATACATGAAAATGGCTACCCCATAATATGCGACTGGCATGCTCTATAGTTTTGTCAATGCGCTGATGTCAAAAATGCTTTTTAATCTCCTTTAGATTAATGCCTTGTTATATGTGTTTGGAGACTAGCCTTTTGAGATTGCAAGTACTACATATTTGTATTTTTCAAAAGGGGTATTTGTGTTTAGTTAATTTTTTGATAAGATTTGACACTATCATATGTTTCAATGTTTAACCTGCTACATACAGTACGCTCATTCCGGCAAATATGGGCTACATCGGTGGTGGCCTATTGACTTTTTTCTAAGGTGCTCGATTGGCAAATTCACTATACCTAAGATTGTTATAGAAGAAAAGGTAATTTTTTACTAAAGCAGATCGTTCCTACATCTTTTTACCATTATAAATACATTACCGTGAGTTGGTTACTTTGTTGAATGTCATTTCCCATGTGTGCGATTCCACTAGACTTTGTGCCCGAAACACAGCATTTTTGACTAATGAATGAGAGGAAGTTTTCAAAAGAACTATGTTATCTTTACTGGAAGTACATACAGACAGCGCAGCATTAAAGCTTTCAAGTCATTCTATCATACGGCAACTCTTGCATTAAGCTTTAGGACCAGGAGATGCTTTTTTACTGTTTTAGCAGAATATGCTTGTCCAGCTAATTTTTTGAACTGAAATTACAATCAATTTGCTAGTTAGGTGGTCACTATTCTCATTTTCTTTCCTTAAAATTGCAAAGCATTCCATCCTGCAGGTCTAAAAATGTTTATATAGTGGATTGGTTAGCGCGGAAAATACGGATCTTGCAAAAGGCTGTCAAAAAATTGGTTTTGCTATTAAAAGAGGCTTTGGTTTGGGCCTGCTGAGGAAGTTACTGATAAACAAGCATTACTAATACCTTTTTTTATGCCTACAGCTCCAAAAAGCATTCATGTTCGAATCTGCTGCTAGAAGCTTTTCATTTTTGCAGCTACTTTTGCAAAACCCCAAAACTAGGTCTCCATTTTCCGTCCTCACATTATAGATTGAAAGGTAGTATCACACGAACTCTCATATAATGCGCTAAGTTGGGCTACTGAACACGATCTCTCCGTAAGTGAGGAAAATTCTACGTTTCGTATTCGTTCCAGTGTCACAGTCGATTTTATTCCACCTAATCATTTGCGGTGGCGTAATCTGAAGAATAAACCTATCGTAGTGTGGTGAGAGAGGGAGTCCAGGAGGGCAGAAAACATTGCCCACACTACGAAAAACACTGCACAGGAAGATACTTACTTCATTTATGATGCCAACCTCCAGCCTCAATTCTCCTATGGTGTCCACAACGGTAATTCAATTCCTAGCTCTGCCAAAAGATAAGAACGGTTATTCAGATGGGGCCCTGTCCTGGTGGAGCAATTCATCGTATGTGCTATCTAGCCAAATCAGTTATGTGGCAATCAGTCATGGCTGACTGGTAGTGTCGAGGTGGCCCAAACAATTCACTTGGTCTCAAACTTGATATCAATAACAAAGTTAATAATTGAGCATCATCCGTTTTATGCAATTGAAATAGGGCTCAAAGAAAAAGCTTTACACTTTTCTAAATCCATCTATTTATGTCGTAGTCGGAAAATACTTGCTAGAAATTCGCAAAGCAGGAAAGTCGTTGATTGACGTGGATGATTTGCTGACTGAAGAGCACTACCAAATGTGTAAGGGAATCATCTCTGACATAGCACATTTACTAACACTTGGCATGTGAGTGAGCATTTATTGATTGGACCAGTTTAGAACGCTCTCTCTGTATTCATCTGTCCTCAATCTTCGTTCCGAGGTCTGGAACGGAAATAGTGGTCACGTTTAAACGTGTATTGTATTCATGCTACCTCCTGCTCCATGAGAGGACATCAAAAAGTAAGAATGCCTGTTTAATGGCTATCACACGCCAAAGAAAGGTGGAGGAGAAAGGTTCAGATCATCCATGAAGGAGAACGGTCGCTGCGCACGTGGTTGCAAAACCATGCGGCAATTGTGGTAATGCAAATCAAATTGAACTTACACAAATGACAGTTTGGTGAAAACATGAGGGTAAGGTGAATATGCCTGAGGGAAATAAAAGTATTTTTAAACAAATAAAATTGTTTTTTATTTCAAGCAGGATGTATCAATTATCATTCCATTGCAAATTGCCATCAGTTGGCTCACAGAATGACTCCAACATTGTTATCACTATGGGCTGCTGCTTACTTGAACTTGCCATCATGTTCATCTCTGGACTTAACCCGATTGCAATAAAGTAGTGGATTCATATCATTACTAGCCTAACTCAAGATCAACAAACATTCCTAGGGAGACAATGAGACCTGCTCAGTCAGGCCAATATCAACCAAGTAAAGGCTACATTGCGATCACTCTAACCTCACATTCGAGTACCATCTGCAAGCCTGCAAACGATTTCCGCAACAATCTACTCCACTGTGCCAATCATAGTCAAAAATAATATTTTGGCCTACTTCAAGGTCAATAAGTATTCGGAGGGAACCAATAGGACCCGCTCAGTCGAGCCAATATCAACTAAGTAAAGGCCACACCAAGGTGCAGCAGTGGTCCTTAATCCAACTGGTACTCATCTAAGCCGCGACAGCAGTATACCGTGTCTTCTCTCCAATAGAA